GCGAGGACACCTCACCCGCAGCGGAATGGAAACCGGTTCGACAGGTAACAAATAGGTGGGTTGTCACCGTTATTTCCCAACGCATGCGCCGTCGCTCCCCGGGCCACTCCAAGCTAATTAGATCAGATCACCCCCCCACCCCGCCCCAGCCACCAACACACACCGCCGCGAGCCAATAAAGCGTGAACCCGTCCGTCCGGCTCGCACTTTAAGACTTCCCAAGCGGCCGCGGGGACGCCAGTCGAGCCTCGAGACGCTTACCTGCCGCTTCCCCTCCGCCTGGTGCACTTGGCTACAAGGAGGGAGGACGGCGACACTCCGCGGAGTTGGAAACCGGTGCGCGCCGTCCGAGCACGGTCTTTCAGCGAACGTGGGGGCGCCTCGACGACCCCTTCCCTGAACTGTCCCCTCCCCCGCCTCCAGCCCCGCCAGGGAAAGGTGGGACGGCTCCCGGCTCTAGTTACGGAAGCGGATCGTGCCGGGCGAGGAGGGTTCGAAAATGCCCCGCGCGTTCCTGGTGAAGAAGCCGTGCGTCTCCACGTGCAAGAGGAACTGGAGCGAGCTCCCGGACGAGGAGCGCGGCGAGATCTACGTGCCAGGTGAGCGTGGGGACGCGTCGAGGCGGCGGGCGCAGTTCGGGCGCCAGGACTGAACGCTTAGGCGACCCGTTAGCCCGCGGTGGCCGATCCCCGGCACGGGGAAGGGGAGGGAAGGGCCGGCGGAAGGAGCGCCGGGTGGGGGCGGGGGCTGCAAGGTGGAAGCGCGGCCGCTCCAGGCCTGGGGGCGGGGGGTCGCCTCCCCTCCAGCGTCCTGAGCCGCGGCGCAAGGGAGGCAACGGCGTGTGTCACCGCTCAGGCGACCCTCGGCTCTCGCGTCGTAAATCCGGAAAGCTGGGACATTCATGAGACGGGAAGAGGGCACTGGAGCGATACCACTTTGGGGGGCAGGGAGCGAGCTGGAGTTGCGGCTGAGATTTGTGCTAAATGTAAGAGAAGACTCAAAGCTTAAGCCGCTTTCACAGGTCTCTGCCCTTCCCCCACAACACTGGGGGCCGGGTCGGGCCGGCTGGGGTCCCCTCGAGTTTCCCTGGGGCTCCCGCCCGGCGGCCCCATGCAGTGCGCCGAGATGGTGGGAAAGGCGCCGCTGCACCTCGCTTGCCCTAAGACAAAGGTGGGATCGGGTCTCACCTCTGTTAGAAGCGCCCTTCCTTCAGCCTTGCGGAGGACACAGTTGAGCGGACAGTGGTTTTAAGGAGCCCACCCCACAACCAGGGGATCAGGCCCCGGGGAATCCAGTGCACCCAGTTTATTTTTGGAAGGCGCGTTGACAGTGTCCGAGTCAACTTCGAATGAGTAACCAGAGTCGTGTCTTCCTCCAGTGGCACCTTCCTCTGCAAGCCCTGAGAACACTTCTGCCCTTTCCGTCCTCCCCTACCCCCAACAAAATCTTTGGTCGGGAGAAAGCCGCTTCCTTGGCAACTCCCCCTCCCCAGGCCTGGGGGCAGGGCAGGGGATGCGCGGAACACCCTGCCCAGCGCCTCCAAGGGGGGAGAAGGTGTAATTAACCAACTGACTTTGACCCTTGATCTGCAGGCTCCCGGGCACCGCCCCAGGCCTTGTAGGAAAGTGGGGAAGTTCTGGCGGTGAGGGGCCCTGTGAGGACTCTTGCCTGTTTCCCTCCAGAATACACTGTTGGAGACAGTGGGTGTAATGGTGAGGTCTTTGTGCCTGAACTGCCGAGATCCAATGGCCTGTGGCGCTGGCGGGATATTTCACGGCCTAACCTTATCTTGAGCGGCTGGGCCTCTCTTCTACCGTCTCCTTAAAACAAGGGAATGTGCCAGAAGTCCCTGATGACCCCAGTGGGGAAACTGAGGCAAAAAGGACGTGAGCAGCATCCTCACGAGGTGGATTAGGGTGTGGGCTCAGAATTCCATGTGCAGTTTCTTGCTTCGCCGACTTCCCGGCGAGCTGACTGGTCTCCACCTCCGGAAGAGCTCGGTGGCTGGCAGAGCCCCCTGCCTCGCTGCTGCCTCCTCCCTCACCTATGTTTGACTTGCTGCATAGCTGCTCCTTGGGATCTGATAAACTGAACTTGGACTGTGTTAAAGGTGAGCTGAGCCTTGAGCCAGACTCAGTGCTGTTATTTTTAGTTTTATTTCACATCCCAATCAGTAACAGATCATGTGTTGACTTTTACAAAGGACAAAGAAATTCCGTTTGTTCAAATCGTTGACTTCCTTGGGTCCTAGTGATTTTCCCATCTCAGTTCTGGTGGCCACAGTGGGAGTGGCAGGGGAGACCTGCGCCCCAGGGGCTGTCCCATCAGGTGCAGGGGAGGGCTTCTGGGTGGTCCGTGCCAGGGCTGCTGCTGTCCAGGTGAGGGAGACGTGCAGGTCGCTCACTCTGCGGAATTGTCCAGATATTGGGTGGGGGGATCTAACCTCAAGGGCACTGGGGAAGTTTGCCGTCTTCACTTTGGTGAGGGGAGAGTCCTGTGGGGTCAAGTAAAGGGTAAAAGTCACAGAACTTAATTTTACCTCTAAAAGCCATGGGGTCCACTGGAGAGTTTTCCCACAGCTTTTGGAAATGAGGAAGGGAATGTCTCCAGTCCATGCTTGGGTGCCTCAAATGGCTGGAGAGTGGGGGATGTGTTTTGTGGTGGCCTGTCCCCCGCTGGGCCATTCCATCAGCAGCCAAGCATGACCCCAGGAGCCAGCTGGGCACGTTTCCATCACCCCACCAGACTCCTGGCACGTTGTGACCAGCTAAGCACTGACCCCATTCCCACTGGGGTACATGGGAACATTTGAGTTCTGACCTTTCTACCAGGTTCCTCAAAGCATCACAGATACCACCTGGAAGCAAAAGGTTCTACTGTGAAGACGCTGGGCCCCACCTGGCAGCTCTGATTCAAGGGCCCTAGTCTGACCATCACATCAGCCTTTCTCCCGTAGGCAAAGTTCTAGAGGGCTTCGGATCCCCATACTAGCCAGCCACCAAAAAAAAAAAAAAAAAATTCTATAGTCCCCTTTCCCAGGACAGACTCTTTCCCTTCAACCCCACTGCCCTTCCAAAGGCAAGGGGAATGCCCAGGTGTGGGTCTTGGGGCTAGAAGGCTTGGAAGCGGAATGGTGAGGATTTCCCTCTGCAGCCCTCCCTCCTTCTCTCCGTCCCCTGTGTCTCCTCCACATGGGCTTCTCCTTAGTTGTGTCAGTACTGACTGTGGAGTGACAGGGAGTAATACTGGTTTCTTGAGGAGGAACCCAGGCACCTGTACCCAGGTGGTAAATTCCACCTCATGGACTGAAGGGGAAGGACTCCAGGAACAAGGATCAAGCCAGTTCCTCCAAGCCCCGGCCCTTGTGAATGAAATCTCAAGGCCAGGAAGGTACTTGAGGATAGACCTGGAAGCGGGAATTCACGAGCGTCCCAGGGGCCTCTTCCAGGCCCCCAGCTGCCCACTCCCAAGCCTCCCCTCTGCTTGGGGGCTGGCCTGCAGTCTCTTTGCCAGTTCACCAGCACGTGCACAAACCCAGACAGGCCTGCGGGCTGAGTTGGAGAAGGCTGCCGCTTCCTCTAGGTAACGTGGCCCAGTCTGGCTCTGCCACTAAGTAGTGGGAGAATTTGGGCAACTGTCTTTCCAGGCTGGGTTAGAAAGGCTGAGAAAGTCAGCTTTGGGCCTCTGAGTACTTGTGTGTGGGTGGGAGGGGGTGGGGCCAGGAAGAGGTTAGGCCTCTGATGATGATTCTAGTGATTCCTGGGAAGTGTTTGGCAGCAAAGGAGATATTTGCTGTGCTCTCCAGGGGGCAGGGCTGGGAGAGTGGACAGCCAGCCAATGGATAAGAACAGAAGAGCAGCCTGGGCCCAGGCAGTGGGCTAGATGGGACTCCTACCTGTCCCATGGGGTGCTGTCACCCAAGATGCTAAGCTGTCTGTCCCAAGTTTGGTTGTGCCGAGGCAGAAGCCTGCCAGACCATTTGTCCCAGAGAGAGAGCAAGTGAGGATGAGCACTCTGGGTGTGGGGGGATGGGAGTGAAGCCAGGCTGATGTTGATGTCGGGGTCCCTCTTCATCATTGTCCATTTTCAGCATGTATTGTACAGAGTCCCACAGGGTGCCTGGGCCTGTGCTGGGCAGGAGGGGAGGATGAGACAGGAAGAAGAGCCCTGGCTGTTCAGGGCTGTGCACCCTGGTCGAGGCGCCAAGGCACAGTTTTAATTTCATCATGGACATTGAGTGGAAAGCAGCTGGGAAAAGGGGAAAAGATATTGCCTGAGAGAAGAACTTTTGGCAGTTCACAGAATGGAAACAAAAGGCCAAGAGACATGTCCACTGTGTTCCCTGCTGCTCGCCTCTGCCACCTCTGGCCGGTGCTGGCTTGCTTTGGGCGATTGCTAGCTGGCCTGTGGGGATTGGAGGAGGCAGGCACAGGGGACCCCAGCCCTTGCAAGGCTGCCTGAAACCAACCTGGGCTCGCCCTCACATTGAGAGTGGAATCAACCCCACGCGCAGGTCAGCCCCAGCATCAGCACCCGTGTGCTCAGTGGGGGACCCAAGAAGCCAGTGTCCTTGCATCTGCTTCATTTGCTCTACCCGGACAGCCAGTGCCCGGGCCTCATACCCAGCCCTGTCCTGAGACCTTGGATGGGAAAGGACCTGGTGCTCCGTCCAGTATGTGGGCCAGTAGCTTTCAATGCAAGAGGGTAAGGCAGGAGATGGTCCTCAGATGGCAGTTGCCTCAGACACAACACCATGGTGTCTGTTCTTCTGCTCTGGGCCTAGGCCCTCAGCATCACTCAGGTGGAAGCAAGTTGGGCCAACAGGAGGGGAGCCCCTGGAGGGAGTAGGGGGAGGGTCAAGCTAGTTCAGCCTTGCCACACTCCACAGCTGTGGGCATGCGATGAGTAGCCACAGCGGCTGCCGCCTTGCCGGAAACATCTAATTAGGGGACAGAGAGCAGCACAAGCAGGGCCCAACCAGTTCTGCTTCCTGCCTTCTGCCACTCAGTGACACTCAGCAACGGGCAGCATGCCCAATGCGCACTCCCTGTGCGTGCGGCTGGCAGGGACACACTCACGGGGGTGGCAGGGAGACAGGTCTGACAGGGTGGATGGGATGAGGCAAGCATCCCCACCCTGGCAGCCATGTGGCCGCCTGTCCAGCCTCACCCACCCCTCGCTCAGGGTAGAGGTGGCACAGAGAGCCAGATCAGACAGGCTCACTCCCTGTCCCCAGTCCCTCAGCACCAGCACTTCCAGGACTGTGTGGAATGGCAGAGGTGGGCAAAGAACACAGGTTTCCTCCCACACTGGCCTGGATCCTCAGAACCCTCACCATGAGCCTCCACTAGTGGAGCCGATGGTGACAGCTCATCTTGAGTGCAAGCCAGTCCCCTTGCCTGCTGTTGCCGCTCCTCTGCTGCTCCAGGCGGAGGCGGTGTGGCCCAGGTCCAGTTGTTGGGAGCCTAGCTCACAGCATCCAGTACTGACAGGCAGAAGAGCAGAGTTTCCTGCGGTCTCTACCTGGATTGAGAAATGGAAATTGTCATTCAGCTTTGAGTTCTCAGCCATGGTCTCCAATAGCCGGTCAGCTGGCACTGAAGCTGTCAACACTCTGTCTGCCCTGCCCACCCCAGCCTGTCCTGTATGCACAGACAGCTCCCACTATGGGACACAAGCCAGGCAGGACAGCTGGACCCCTAAGAGCTCAGAGGGTGAAAGGGGACTGTGGCTCAAGGACCAGGCCAGTACCAGACTCTGGTGAATCAACTCCCAGAATGAGGTGGCTCATTAAAGTCCCCTGGACAGACAGACGCCAGGGCCAGCAGAACGGGTTCTGGGCGGCAGGCAGGCACATTCTTCACCCATCAGACCTTTGTTGTGTTTTGAGGGGGCGAGAGTGGGGCCTCTCCCGAAACTTGGGTGCTTGCAAATGCACCCTTCCCCCATGATCACGTTCCTCTTCCTTCCCCCACATCCCTGAGGGAAGGGGAGGGGAGGGGAGGCGGGCAGCAGCCCTCCTGCCTGGGTCTTTGCCCACCGTGTCCAGCTGTGGAGCGCAGGGTACAGAGGCCGTGCTCACACTTCTGAAACCCTCCATCAGCCTCCTAAGTCCCTCTCTCTGGAGCTCATTCATCCTTTCTGTCCTAGGCCCCTCTTGCTTTTTCTTTCCAAACCATGGGAAATGCTCCTAGTGTAGAGGTTTTCAGTATAGAGCTTAGGCTCTTTGGAAGAAAAATACTAAATTGAAAAATTAGGGGCCGGCCCGTGGCTCACTCGGTAGAGTGCGGTTCTGATAACACCAAGGCCCCGGGTTTGGATCCCATATAGGGATGGCCAGTTAGCTCACTGGCTGAGCGTGGTGCTGACAACACCAAGTCAAGGGTTAAGATCCCCTTACCGGTCATCTTTTTAAAAAAAAAAAAAAAGAAAAATTAGAGCATTTGCCCCAGCTCTGCTGGCTTTGAGACTGTCTCCCCTGTGTCCCTCCAGAGAACTCTTCCTTTTCTGTCTAGCAAGGCTAGGGCTTAGTGTCTGAGGCCAAGCCTCCCAGGCCCTGTTTAGTGTGAGGTGCTGCCGTGGGAGTGGCCATGTCAAGGGCTGCCAGGTATCGGTGCTGCCGCCACCGCTGGAGGGAGCCCAGCCCTGACTGCGCCCAGCGAGCGGTCCCCGCTGGGGGAGGGTTGCATAAGCGCTGGGCAGGCCGCCTGAGACTGTTAAGCGGCATCCACCTGCTGCTCCCTGACTTCCTCCCTGCTCCACCCACTGGCCTATTCACCTGTGGAGTGGGGAGCCGGAGCCCTGATGGGCCACTCAGAGCAGGGACTGGCTAGCCCAGAGGAGGAAGGGGCAAGGATCACCTGAACCTCCAAGGCCAGCAGCTAAATCTGCCTGCAAGAGAAGCCTAGAGAGGCCTGACCACCAGGGACCTTTCTGGGACAAGGATGAGTCTCAAAGAACTGTCCTTGGGCCCAGGGCCTCCAGTGGTGCCCTTTGTCCCTGCACGAGTGTGGACGAGGCTGGAATCCAGAGGGACTGGCCCAGGTGGGGCAGGCAGACAACTCTGGGATAATTGGTAGGGCAATTTGGTCCTCCCAGTTCCGCTAAGACACAAATTACTCAGCGGGCAGTGGCGCTTGGCTGGCGTCACCTGTAATTACCTTAATAGGGCGGGAGGGAGGTGCAGCGTGTGGTGCGTTGGGGACAGCCCCACTCTGCTGCATGCCTGCAAGGGGTGGGACAGAGACTCCAGGTTCTAGCCATCTCGTTGCTAGAGAACCTTCCTGAAATCCCACTGGATCCTCCTTTCTCCCCCAAGCCCCTCACCTGGCTGTTCTTCTCTCCCCAGTCAGCCTGGGCTTCTGCCCACCACCACCCTACCAGGAGCCGGAACCATCAGTGGCTGAACCCCCTTCCTGCCCCATGGCTCTGGACATGAGCCTGCGGGACTCTAGCTATAGTGTGGCCCCTGGGCCCTGTGTGGTGGCCCGGCTGCCCTCTGAAGACATGGGCCACTTGACAGACCCCCAGAGCAGAGACCATGGCTTCCTGCGCACCAAGATGAAGGTAATGCCTCTCACACTGTTTCCGAAGACCAGGGGCACTTGTGTAGACCTGTGTCCAGACCGTGACGTGGCACAAATGAGATGTAGGCAGAGACTGACCTGGGACCTGGGCCGAGGTTTCTGAAGAGAAGTGAACTTAGCTGGAGCACAGATGAGGGTGGAGGGAGGGGGAGAGTAGGTCTGAAGTTCTTTGGAGTCCATGTCCATGGGCAGTTCTGTTCACTTTCTGACTACAAAAGGCAAGAGCAGCCGCAGGAAGAGCTACCTCTCTGCACAGAAGCCCTAGGTGAAGCAGTAAGACGTGAGCCTGCCTCAGCTCCGTCTCTGGGGCTCCTGTGAGTGAGGTCTGGAGTTGGCACAGTGGTTAGCTGTTCCTGGAGGCGTGTGCCGGCAGTCGCCTCGCCCAGTTATGTTGTTTCCAGCCCTGTCGGTGTCTGAGGCCTTGCATCAAGGGCAGGACCTGGGTAAGCAACCCCGCTGCATTCAGCAGCACCGCTGTGCTCCTGCATCCAGAGAGGGCACAAACAGCAGAGCCGTCTCCGGCTGGATCTGTACTCCTGAAAGCTCCAAGATCTGGAAGCACCTGCCAGCAGTGATCTAGCAGGAGGATACTCCTGGTAGTGCTATCCTACCTGCCAAAGGCTGGAGAAAACTGGCAGAGGAATGCTGTTCCTTCCTCTCCTGCCTGCGGAGGCCAAGTGTGTGTTTTAATGACTGAGACATGTGCTGGGTGATTGGCCAGAGCCAGCCAGGGTTCTCCCGAACAATTGCCCCTTGAGCCCTTCCCTCACTCCTTAAGGGGGGTAGAATAGCAGGTGAACTGAAGGAGTGAGTCTCAGCCCATAAAGTCTTGACTGCCAGCAGCAAGGGGAATTTCCCTGGTGCCAGAGCAGGACACAATGAGGGGACCGAATGAGGGGACTGAATGAGGAGTGGTGTGATGGGTGCCTGTGATCTCGGGAGGAGTTGCCAGTGCCGGGTCCACCCACAGAGCACTAGCAACCTCCAGAGTGTTAAATAACAGAGGTATCAAGACTGGGTCACTCTGCTGGTCATTGAGCCACACCTGTGCTAGTCACAGGTCCTGGACAGCTGCTGCAGCTCTGAACTTTAAGCAGCACACTCTCAAAGGTGTCTGGAGGCACCCCGGATTTGCTGCAAATAATCCAAGGCACAGGGGAAGTAGGGAGGCAGAGATAAAACAGGACTGGCCCTGAGTGACAGGGCTCAGGGCTCACAATATTAGTCTCTCCACTTTTATATAAATGTGAAATTTTCCATAATTAAAAATATCAAAAAGGTTTATAAGCAAGAAGGTCCTCAGGGTAGCAGAGGAGTTCAAACCATGCCACATCAGGCTCGGCTCAAGAAAAACCAGGGAGCTGGGCTGGCTGGAGGGGACTCTGGGCTCATAGCAGTGCTGCAGCCTGGGGAAGTTGCCACAGAGACCTTGGTGTGGACATTTCCCACATGCTAAGGGGGAGGACAAGAATAAATGAGCAGAAACTACAGAGGGGTAGACTTGGCCTCAGTTAAGGGAAAGCTTTCTAGGAGGTAGAGCTGACAGAGAAACAGCTGCTTCTATCAGTGGTTAAGGTGTCATCTCTAGACATGGTAAAGGAGGCCCTAGTGACCACCTTGAAAGGGGACTCAGGAATCCGACAGGAAGCTGGACCAGTGATCTAAAGGTTCCTTCCAGCCTCCAACTGCCAATCTCTGTGAGCAAACAGCACAGGGGTGTGAGCAGTGCTTTTCTCTGGGGTGCTGGGGGCTGGCATTTGTATCCTCCCAATCTGCCAGCCTGCAACCCCAACTTCTGGATGTCTGTTACAAATACTGTCCTCACTCACAGGTGACCCTGGGGGACAGTCCCAGTGGAGACCTCTTCACCTGCCACATCTGCCAGAAGGCCTTCACCTACCAGCGCATGCTGAATCGCCACATGAAGTGTCATAATGATGTCAAAAGGCACCTCTGCACGTACTGTGGGAAAGGCTTCAACGACACCTTTGACCTCAAGAGACACGTCCGAACCCATACTGGTAAGCAGAAGCCCATGGCTGGGAGGGAGCACACAAGAACTGCTTGGCTGAGGCCACACGGAAATATTCCAGCAACTCCTGCTCGCCCTGGGTAATGGGTAGCCTTGGAAGGGCATCTTGGAGTTCAGGGCAGAAGTCCTCCTGAGTTCACCGATTAGGACTTTGATTAGAGAGTCACTTGGGAAACTGGTGTTGGACAGACCTCTATCCATCCCTCTGCCCTAGAGTCAGGGGTCCTGTCCTTTCTGTGTCGAGAAGCTGCTGACTGGTCCTGAGGTCCCTGTCAGGTCCCTGACACTGGTCCTTGTCTTCCTGCAGGTGTGCGGCCCTACAAGTGCAGCCTGTGTGACAAGGCCTTCACCCAGCGCTGCTCCCTGGAGTCACACCTCAAGAAGATCCACGGTGTGCAGCAGAAGTACGCGTACAAAGAGCGGCGGGCCAAACTGTATGTGTGTGAGGAGTGTGGCTGCACGTCCGAGAGCCAGGAGGGCCATATCCTGCACCTGAAGGAGCACCACCCTGACAGCCCACTGCTGCGCAAGACCTCCAAGAAGGTGGCCGTGGCCCTGCAGAACACTGTCACGTCCCTCCTGCAGGGTAGCCCCCACCTCTGAGCAGCGCAAGCCCGGGGATGCTCACCTCCCTGCTGCCCAGCCAGTCCACCCTCCTGCAGCCTCTTGCCAGAACACCGGTGATCAGGACTGGAGCCCCGGTCCTCTTATCTTTCCCCCAGGCGCACGGGCTCACTCAGGCCCAGCACTGACTTCCACTAAATTTTGCATTCTTGCCTGACAGGCAGAGGCTGCTCTCAACCTGGGAAGATGTGCGTATGTCTGGGGTTTTGGGGGGAGGCCAAGGCTGCCTTCGATTAGAAGAGGCCGCCTATGGAGACAGGCACTGTTCCCCTGGCAGTAGGACTTCCTTCCCAGAGGAGGTATGAGGGGATCCTGTTGCCCTCGCCTCTAAGCACAAGGCAGGGGCTGTGGGTCCCCAAGGATGGCAGAATTGGGAGCACTGGCAAAGAGCACCCCCGCAAACAACCACAGTAGGGGGCTGGTGGCGACCCACCCACCCACAGGGCTCCTAACGCTCAGGGTTCCAGGACTCTGCCCTTCCTACAGGAAGACGCACGTGTGTGCACAGCTGTGTGTGCATGTGTGTGTGTGCGCATTGTGTGCACCCTGCGGTGTGCTTGCTTGCACACAAGTGTACTTGAGTGTGTGCATACAGAAGGCCTTTCCACATATCACCTCATTTTTAAGAAATCAACTACAAGGTGCCAGGGAGATTTTATTTCCTTTTTTTAAAGATGACAAATGTACAGATATTAATATATTTTTGGTGCCAATGGCGACTGTTTTTAAGAGAGGGATGGAGCTGGCTTTTCTCCATTCCCACACGGTTCTATTTATCCTGGACATTTCAAACCTCCTCTGTGCCTTGGCTCTAGGGGTGGCTGCCCCAGCCCACCTCCATTCTTTGTACCTCCTCAAGTATTTAACTGAAGACCTTCCCCCAGCCCCACCCTGGGCTGCTCTATCCTTCTCCGTCTACAGGGACAGCACGTCACATCTCTCTTCCCTCCCGCAGCTCCTTTCAAGGCGAGTCCCCGGTTCCTGGAGAGCCTGCTTGCCTCCTGATGACCAACCATTTGTGGAATAACTCACCCTTCCGAGGCTGAGGGTGTCGCACTGGGATTTTAGGGGTCAGCCAGGTGGGATGATGAGTCTGACACTGAGCCCACTGCCTGAAGTACTAAAACAAGCACAGGGCCAGGCTGAGTCAAAAACCCTAGCACAGCAGCAAAAAAATTAGGACAGAATGATACATCAGAAACTCCCAAAGAGAGGAGAGATTAGGTGGTTAACAAGTTTTATTTGTAGCCTTTTTTCTGCTTTTCAAATGACTAGCCTGGACTTTTGAGAGAGCCATCCAAGCTGATTGGCTTCCTTGGCATGGCTGCATTTCCTGCTAACAGGAAAGGGGTTGTGAATCAGAGTGAGACAGGGCAGGGGCAGGGCCAGCTGCAGGGAGGCGAACTCAGAAGAGGACCACAGCACACAGTAGGCTGGGCAGCCCCTGGAAGCCAGTCCTGAGCAGGACCAGCCTCGGCCTCCCCTGCCCGGAAAGAGCAGTGTCTGCACAGACCCCAGGCTGGCCTGAGGGGAAGGAGCCTTCTTGGACTTCCCTCTGAGATGTGTATACACTGATTCTGAAGACTCTTGCTAATCTTACTCTAGAGTGTCTGGGGAGTTGCTGTATTCTGAAAGTTATATAGTATAAAATAACGTTATCTGGATGCTCGTTTTTTTTTGTTTTTTTGGCGGCTGGCCGGTGGAAGCCCTGTTTTTGTTTACATTTCTGTATCCCTGGATTCATTGCCAATCTGAGGCAGTCTGAGGCTCTGTGTTGTCTGTTTTATTTTATTACATTCCCCCCAACTATTAAAATCAGAGAACTGATGTTTCCGATTTTTTTGTCTTATGGGCCTCTTTTTTCCTGATGCAGGGAAATTAATCAAAACAACTGATGCATTCTGTCTAAACCTTTCCCCCTTTGCAGTTACTGGTGGGCTCAAGTCAAGACAAGAACCTGACCCAGATAGATTAAGTGATCTGCCCATGGTCTCAGCCATTTGGTGCCTGCTGACCTCTGGCCAAGCGTGCTCTGCTCTCGGCATCCCCTGGCTTTCTTCATCTGCCATTGAACACTCCTGCATCCTGACCGATAGCCTCCATGGGCCCGGACCTTCCGGGATCTTTGTAGTCACTTGGGATTTTAATCTTGGCCTCTCCTCCCAACACCCTGCCAGGGTCAGACCATAGGAGGAGGAGCCACATTCCCAATAAAAAAAGGGTGCAAAGTTCATACCACTTCCGGTCAGATACCTAGGAATGTCCATGCTCAGTGCCTGGACACTTAGGGACAGCTGCGCTCAGTGTCCAGACACCTAGCAACAGCCGTAGTTGCAGCTTGTTCTGCAACTTGGAAGCGCTTTCCACATATTGGCTCACCTGATCCTCCACCCACCCTCTGAAGTGGGTGCTATTATCATCCTTACCCCAGCAGAGGGAAGTCAGGCAGGTGGCCCAAAGTCTCACGACTAACTAGTAGTGGAGCTGGGGTGCCGACCAGACAGCCTGGTTCAGGGTCTGTGCTTGGAAACACTGCACATGCTGCCGATAGACAACCTGGGAGAGGGCACCTCTAGGCAGTTCCAAGGAAATTTGGAGATGACCTGGCCTTCCCCATCACCTACCCAGGATTGCTCTCAAGAAGCAGATGGCTCTAGGATCCTGGTCCCTGAGTCCCAGATCAGTGTTCTCCCATCACACCTGGGCCAGATGGAGGAGTGGGAGGAGGAGGGCTACCAGGTCTGGGCCGCTGGTGGTACGTTCTGGGAGGCATGAGAAGGGTTGGGGCTCAGGCACTGCAAGGAGAAAAGAAAACATTGATATGACCTTCTCTAAGGCTCCCTGTGAGAGGACCAGAGGATTTGGAAAGGGCCCATAACCCTCCTTATGACTCTTTAAACAGCCAGGCATGGCAGATTTCTTTTATCTCCAGAAACCTCTCCATGTGAAATGCCAAATAAATCCCATTTTACATATCCCCAGATGAACGGAGCCCACTGTTGGGGATCCAGGTGATACTGCTGTGTATGTAAACTTCAGGAGAAGGGACAGTTTCCAGGAAGTCGTGGCTGGGTGGGGCAGCAGTTTCCTGGGGCTTTCAAGACTCTGCTCTCCTTCTTGCTCCTCAGATGAGCTCAGGGTAGGACACCATGTCCCCCACATTCCCCCTGTGACACTCAGAAGGGCCCTTCCCTACAGGGTTGGGCCAGACAGTCACATTTCAAGGGTCCATGAGGTTTCCAGACTGCAAGATGGGTGCTGTGAGGAAAATGAGAAAATTGGGGGGGCCCTCCGCTGACTGGGGGGTAGGCCCTGGCCAGGAAAAGAGCAGAGATGGATACAAATCAATATATAACTAAGGACAAGTAGTGGGCAGATACTACAAAGTCTTTTGCATCTGAAAGAACAAAGGCTTCCTGAAAGAGGTGGGGCTGGAAGAACAGGAGGATCTGAACAGAGGAGAAGAGGCCAGAGGGGAGGGGGGAAGGGGGAACCCAGAGAGAGAGACCCAGAGAGTGGAGTGTGGCAACAGGATGGGCAGAAGGCCTGTTTGCACTAAGGAGACAGATGCCTGCTTCATTCAGGCAGTCACACCGCAAGAGTTTTTTGAGCCCTGCCTAGGTGCCAAGAAGCGATAACAAGATTCTGAGAGACAGGAGAGCTGGGTGGGACCTAGCAAGATGCCTTATCAAGGGTGGAGGTAGAGTTCTACTTTTATACCTAAAAACAAAGCCACCAAGTGCAGAGTGGGGAAAATTTTACAAAAGTAAATGTTATTGAATTTGTATTCTATATTTGTACGTATTTTCTTTTCTTTTTTTTTTTTTTTTTAAAGATGACCGGTAAAGGGATCTCAACCCTTGGCTTGGTGTTGTCAGCACCACGCTCAGCCAGTGAGCAAACCGGCCATCCCTATATAGGATCCGAACCCGTGGCCTTGGTGTTATCAGCACCGCACTCTCCCGAGTGAGCCACGGGCCGGCCCATACGTATTTTCTAATATTTTAACAACCTATATTATTTTTACAATCAGAACAGGATAAAATTATAAAACAATTCAGGGGTTTTAGTTGACTTGAAATTTAACACATCAACAGGGAGATGGGGCTGCCCCCCCACCAAAGAAGAGCTACTGTGATTTTGGACAATATGAGAGACTAGCATCAACAACCACGGACACCTCCCTCTACTTTGGGCTAGTTGCCAGAGGTAGTGGGTGGTGAGGAGAGAGCAGAGGCCTCGAATCAGGAGACTGGGTTTGAGCCCAGCCCTCTCTCACTATCTGTGTAACCTTGGGCAGGTGACAACCTCTCAGTTTCCTCATCTATAAAATGAGGTGGTTCCTAAGTTCAAAAGTCCCTTTCTGCTATAAAGACTTTGTCTCTAGGCCCCAGTCTCAATAAAACCCTTTAAGAAACTCACTGACTATCTGCAGCAGACGGGGAAGCTGAAGGCCGTGGAGGCTGCCCACGAGGAGGGAGGCCAACATGGTTGCTGGCCTGTGGCAGAGGGAAAAAGCTTGCTCCAGGTGGCTCCAGCTGGGCCAAGAGGGGAGTTGGCTTATCCAAGGAGTGCTGCCTGGGAGGGAGGAGCCCTGGCACCACGACTGGAGGGCTGCCAACCAGGCTGCAGAGCCCTGTGTTAGGAATTGCTAAAGGGACTCACTTCTGGGATTGCAGGCTGGACAAAATAATCTTCAAGGCTCTCCACCCACGAAATTCTATAAGGTCGGGCCAAAGTGCAGTGGCTGTGACTCGAGGCCTAGTTGCTGTTCCCAAGAAGGTAGAGCCAGGGTGAAAATGCTGGGGAACAGAATGGGATGGAAAAGAAAACATGAGAAAGAGCAGGATCAGCTGGAAGGCTGTTCCCATATTCTGGGCTTGTGGTGGGATGAGATTCCCCTCTTGCTGCCACTGGCCCTTGCCCGTTCTCTGGGTCCACTCCCTTAGGCGATGGCAGCCACCTGACCCAGGATGTCCCTTCTCTTCGTGGCCAGAACCAA